AAGTAAATTTAGAAGTAATTCGTTTGTTAATTACCAGTAAAGTAATATTTTTGCATTTTGATCCATTTCCATTTGTTATCATACTGTCATAGTTTGAAATGAAATAGCCGAAGATCGGATATCTTCAAGGCGGTTACCTTCATGTTTTTATATCAATCAACCTGAATATTTAATTATTGTTGAGATTTCTTTGAAAGTAACATAATTAAATTGATAGATAAAGAACCGAGATTTCTTGATTTTCCTCATTGAAACTAATTCCATTTACTCTCAAACAATCTTACGAAATATATCCGGAAGATGATTATAAGTTTCAGTTAATTCAATTTAAAAAAAGGAGCAGGAAATTTTCCTCATAATCAATATAGTCCAATATCAATTAATTGTTAATACAAATGTTATTTGAACATCTAATGGATGAAAATAATAATGTAGTTTGGTGAATGAAAGTTAAAACATACAGATATAATGATGATATGGTACTATTTGCGAAAAAAGAAAGTTTTCATTTAACTTTTATTATCAATGATTATCAATCAGTGAATGGAATGAAGCAAAGGGATGAATAGATCGGTTAATATCAATGATTATTATTGAAAGAAAGGAATGAATGGGTCAGTTAATGGTAGAATGATAATATGATAACAGATAGAAAGTGATGATATATTGTAAGGCTTTTGATGTGATCATATTTATATTTAAACTCCAAAGCTATCGTAATTTGTTCGCATTCTTGGAATTGTTTGACGTCGCCTTTTGCAAATGTCGTTGTATACATTTATTGAATGGCGCAAAATGATAATGGTGAAGTGGTAGGAGGAGAGGAGGTAGACAGGAGGACATGTCATGTCATCACCGCATGGGTGGCATGTTATCATCGTCTATAGTTTATCATCATATTAAGAGGAATAAATAATGATGATAGGCTTTGGTATAGAATTGTTAAACTAACTCGAAAATACACTTTTCTTACCTGAACTTTTCTTTTACATCATTTATCATTTATAATAGGGAAAAAAGAGATGTTTTTCTTTTGCTACCTTTTATTAAAAGGTATATTTGACATAAGAATATAGCCATTTTTCACTTTTTTCTTCTTTCAGATATCCTTTCTTTCTTTTTTCGAATATATTTCTACTTTACATTATTTTTTAAAATGTAGAAAGGATGGATATAGGAGATATTTTAGAACTGGAAAATCCTAGTTATCTTAATATATCGGTACATAACGCAAAACAGCTGATAGATGATTTCTGAAATATTATTCTGTCATCATTTCATGTCTTCCGACATAAAATTTATTCCTATATATGAATCATCATCTATCAGCTTAATGTAATTAATTAATGAAGTAGGTTGATTTCAGTCAGTGGGATTTCATCTAAAATCTTCATTTATCACTTTTTGTTTAAAGTTGATTTTTCTTACGATAATATTTTTTTGTCAAACATTAACTTTTAAGTGAGAACTGTCAAGTTATCGTTTTATCTTTTCTATAGCTCTAATAACAGTTATCACCACTAATTAACATAATCAGTAATATCACTATTGTTGATTATTTTTATCGTTATAACTTTCCTCTCACTATAATATAATACATGCATATCTTTTTTTGCGCGGATAAGAAAGATGATTACACTGAATTTTAGTAATGTATCGTGCAGCTGCATTTTTCCAATTGCATATACATGGGGCAGAGAGAAACATGCAGGCGCAATGACTTAATTTCTTAAGCGCAAAAACTCTTTTTATTCATTCCAGTCGAAATCTCATTCTCCCTGGCCACCTTTCTCCCTATTTGATATTGAATTATCTGATTTATCATCGTTATTTATTATAATAAATGAACCTATCTTAGTTTACTTTCTCTATCTCACCTTAATAAATAAATCTAACTAAATGAAATCAAGTAATAATAAGTAAACTTAATAGAATAATTTAAATTTATACAAGCCTGCTTCTTAATTTTACGATTATAGTAAATGTAGTCAATTATTTCTATTACTCTATCTATATTTAAATGAAGTAAAATTGATAAATTCATGAAATCATCGTCTACTATTATTATTATTAATCAATGTTATCAACCATTTCCACTCCTCCTTATTATACTACACACTATCATGAATCATCTAACTGCCAACAGCATTTTCATTCATTTATAAATAGCAAAGATTGGTTCGAATTTTTTAATCGAAGATCGTGTCTGCTGCAAACAATTTACATTACAAACAAAAGATAGATAGATAGATACATATTTGTAGGGATGAATTAGCATAGCACAATGTCTATCTATCTATCTATCTATCTATCTCTGAGTTAAAAGAGGAAAAATAGGAAGGGAATGTAGCAGATGCCATCTCTCTCTCTCTCTCTCTCTATCTCTCTGACATTACCGCTATTCATCTCTTCTATCACTTCACTCTTCACTGTTCATTTTTTTTCAACTTTTTATCATTATTGTTGATCCTTTTGATTGTTCTATACTCTTCACTTACTTCTCTTCGAGAGAGAAAGAAAGAAAGGGAGAGAGAAGAAAAGTATGTTTCATTTATTACATTTAACATAAAGAAAAGCGTTGTTGATTTGTATGGTATCACTCAAATATATCCCCGTTCCATCCGGGAATTCATATTAACTACTCATCTTTTCCCCCAATATCATATGAGAAAGATAGTTATTCCTAAAGTGGGAAAATCCTTCCATTGTTAATATATTAAAAGGCGCTATTGTCCATTTCTGTAGCGTTATTGTCCTTTATGGTAGAAATAGTGGTGGTTAAACAAAGAAAAGCTTATACCAACAATTTGATCTTCTATCTTTAACAATATCATACAACGAACTATTCACTTTCCCATAATCATATCCATTATCGATTATGATGGAAAATGAAAAAAATGGTCAGTCTTCTTAATTCATTCAGCGTTATTTCGGTTTTTCAGCAATATAGTAGTAAAGTTCATCCTTTTAGCTGATATATTGGGAGAGTGATAAGTGATTATCCGTAATTAATCATAATTGATAGTAAAAGATAGCAAATTTTCGTGAGAATGATTCATTAGGATATAATTATCAGCCATTTATTGTAGCTAATATTCAGCGATTTACTATAACTGATATTTGTTCATCATTGGTGAATAATAATTCAGGTATTCCCTTATTTATGTTGTAATTGATGTTAGGGAAAAAGGTTAAAAGTGAGGATTTGTTACTAAAGTAGAAGTAATTAACATACAGTGAAGAAGACGTAGGACAAATGAAACTGTTACACTTTACACTTTGAAATTTCACTGTATTATTGAACAATTTTCATTTCACTATCAGAAAGATATGTAATCAATTGAACTTAAACTTTTCTAATTAGAGAGGAAATTAATTTTATCATTAGGACTTTTCTAATTAGAAAGGAAATTAATTTTATCATTAGGATTAATTTATCATTGCAATAAATTGAATTAGACAATTTTTCAATCAGATTTTCATAGAGCAGCTAATAATGTTTGTCATTTTCTGCAATTGTTTAGAAAGATATATTGAAGTTGATATCACTTTGAGCAGAGAATTCCTTCTCTTTCTCTTTCTCCCTCTACCTCTCTCTCTCCCTCTCTGTTTAATTGTTACAAGTATTCCAGCGAGAGAAAGAATTGGAAAGACAGGGAGGATAGAAAAAAGAAAAGGAAACAGTTCGAACGATGTGAGAATTTGAAGTTTAATATGATAAAAGCTGTTACTGAAAAAGAGAGAGAGAGAGAGAGATAAAAGCGGAAGTTTGTTGGTAATACCATGAAAACCATTTATTTCGTTATAGGAAAAGGTTTAGGAATGATTGATTGATTGATTGATTGATTAATTAATTAATTAAATGAATAAGAAAATATCAATGTTGCCGGAAATTATAGGAAATGATGATAATCGGAGGATCCGATTGGTTGAAAAAGTCAGGTTAAGGATTATCTTATAATTTATAACGTAAAGTAGGCAGGTTAAAAGCTTTGGGAATCTTAATTTTATATTTGAATTGTTTGTTGGAGAAGTTTTGCTTATATATTTACATATATGATTAACAAATAATAAATTTCTATGAAAGATTTCTTCAATCCGAGAAATCTCAGTATAATCAAAAGTGATCCTTTAAAGGAGTTTCTTAGAATATTTACATATACTTTTGCCTTCTTTAAATATTCGCTTATCTGTTGACAATTTTTTTTAGGTTCGGTTAATTACAAATAAATTTTATCTTTGGAAGAAAAGATGAAATAAGCGTTTATTATATTACGTAGGCATGTGAATAATATGTACGTACGTACACGTGGTGATAATTGTTGCAATCTGTATTTACAGTACACTGGGCAACGGCTGCAGCGATAACAACAGTTATAACAGGACGAACAACAGCAATAGCAGCAGTAGTAGCAGTAGTGGTAGTAGCAACAGAAGTAACAATACCGAAAACAATAAACAGTAACGGATAGCATTTTGGGGCAAGTGGACTCCAAAGGCATCATTGTCGTAAATGTGTTACGGATGCTTACTGTTGTAAATACAATCATTGTTTAAGTATCACTAAATATTCCTTCTTCTATTTTAACAATAATAATATTAGTAATAATATTAATACAACAATCAGCAGCTTCGCAAACTTCACAACTCCATATACATGGGGTAAGTTATTGTTAACATTTCGTCTTACTTTATTATTATTTCTATATCTTTTAACTTTTAACTTCCTTGAAACAAAATGATTCATTTATCAAAAGTGCTAAATTAATTGTAAAGCGGTTCCAATAAACAATTTTGACTGAAATTTCACTGCTTTAGATGTATTGTATACATATATATTTCGGAGAGAAGTATTTTTATTGGAAAATTAATGAATTTAAAGGAATTTCAAATTATCATTTAAGCAAATTTTTTGCTGTTTCTGGATGATTTCGTTCTCTTAATTGTCATAATATCTTTCTATTGTTTTGATTATTTCTTGAATTGTGCAAAATTCGATGATGAACAATTTCAGGTCGGCAGGGATATCATCAGCTGTACTTGGACATACGCCTTCTCCATATCGATCGAGTGCTCATATGAATGCATATACGGGACAAAATTTCACTCGACCTCAACATTTTCACGGATCTTTTGTAAATTTATCCATAATACTTCTTTTCGGAACATTAATTTAACTTGTTAATGCTAAACATAAATCGATAACCAAACAAGGCAACCATTTATGAATGATCTTAATTTACATCACCCATTAAAAGGTACTATTATGTAGTGATTGTTTTAAATGAAGCGTTAAAAATCGCTTGATTATCGCGATTAGGTGTAAGGGGAAGAATAAAAATATTGGAAAATTTATGAAATTGAATCGCTAGTTTAGTGAAAGCTCAAAAAAAGCATTTTGCTTAGACTGCAAGTTACATATTTTTTTTCTTTTTGTTGCAGCAACAAAATATGTGCAATGGGTACGGAAGCGCAAATGATGGAACACAATCACGCAACGGTTTAGGGAGTTCAAGTATAAGTACTCGTAGGAACAGTACTGGTTCACCAGTTCCATCATTAAGCTTGGTTAGTTAAAAGAAAATATTTGAATGATGGAAGGGAGCTTTTCGGACGATAAGTGGTTGTAAAAATAATTTGGCAAAAAATCTAAAGAGAGGTATAGTAAGAGACAAGTAAAGAGAAATGAAATTTACGAAATTAATTGAACAATTTGTTTTGAAAGAAGGGGGATGATTTTTAGAAATCAGGTATTATATTTTTGCGCTTAGATAATTCATATCCATTTAGACTAATGTTTACATTCGTGGACTTGATCAAAATACAACCGATGAAGATCTGAGAGATATGTGCGCAAAATTTGGCCGAATAGCATCAACCAAAGCAATTATGGTAAAATTTTGGTTGATATAATCTTCAATTATTTATTTTCAAAATATACAATACTTGTGCGTAGGATAATTAGGGAATCTGTACTTTTCTTCCAATGTTGGTTGTTTGAGAATTGTACGAAAAACTGGTATATTTCACCAATATTTCACTAATTTTAATTTAGATTGTTGAAAAATTCGAAATCGAAAAAAAAAATTCGAGATCATGATAATGACTTCCAACAATTGATTTAGATTGTTGGAATTCGAAAAATTATTAAAGCTCTTGTTGCAGGATAAAACAACTGGTCAATGTAAACGCTACGGATTTGTTGATTTCGAAGAAGCGGCTGATGCGATGCGTGCTGTTGAAGGTTTGAATCAAGAAGGGAAGGTACGAGCGCAAATGGCTAAGGTAATTGTTGGTTGCAATCGATTGCTTTTTTGGAATATATAATTTGAATAAGCAGCAAAAACTTTTCAATTGAAACAGAAATTTTCAGATTTTGTATATATCTTTCAGATATA